AATACACATGTGCGGCTTGGCACTTGTGCTGTACGTAACAAGTAACGCGACGTGACGCTGCGGCTGTGATTGGTTCGGCTCTGCGCTACTTAATTCGGATTGGCTGTTCTTTTTTTCTTTTCTTTTTTTTAAGAGGACAAGAGCGATGAGGTCTATCACAATAGTTAAATTTTTCTATTGAGAAAAAGTATATGTATATATATATATGTATTTCGTTATCGTTCTATCGCCCAGCTCTAGTTTGAGGCATGTCATACAGAGATGAAAAGAGTTATAATTGGCTTTATTAACATACGTGCGCCTCTGTGTCTCAGATCTGGAGCAGTTGTTTCCTTCGGCGCCCACAGTTTCCATCACAGTGGTGACGGTCACGCAGACGAGCGGTCGGTCAGAGGACAAGGAGACAGAGCTGGATAGAGACCAGCTGCTAAGTAAAGTAAGTCCTCGTGTGTTGCCCATTACAGACTTCAGAGGTTGTAGCAGTTGGTGACTGTGACTTTGTCCTAACTGCAGTTTGTGAGCGGGGCAAAGGAGATGTGTTTCGCTCTGTGGACTGCAGGATACTGGGCGGACTTCATTGACCCAACAACGGGAGCAGCAGTGAGTAATTCTGTGTTCACTGTGCCTGTTCTTTACTGTCTCAATCTGCAATCTAAACTCCCAAAGCATATACTTATTCTATGAATGAAGCTTACGTTAGTTTAATTTTCTTTGATAGAAAAAATGTTATATTGAAGTAGTTGTCTGTTGGGTGGGAAAAGCCCAAACACATTATGATGTGAAACCACACATGCTTATAAACCTTTTGGTTACATTGTTTGGAAAATCTGGAAAAATGTATTTTCCCTTGTAACATTTCTAGAGATTTTTCCCGTTAAACTTCCTGTCAACTCAAATTCTGGTAGTTCAGCTGTGAAAACTGAGGACAACAAACAGAACAATATTGTTTTAATTATGGAATTTCCCCCCTTTCCTCAACAGTTCTTTGCGTCTCCATTGGGCGAAACCACACTGCGAACAGACAGTGAGCTGGGACATCGGGGCTTTCACATCGAGGTGTCGAGCTCCTGCACAGTCATCCGCCATATCCTCAGGGGGACTCCTTTGTTTGTGGGGACTATTTTCACCAACGCACCTGTTCAAAGTGCTGCTGTTGCTAGACTTCAAGGATTTTCAGACGCACTCAATGATGAGGAATAAACTTTTTTTTTCTTTTTTTTAAAAAATAGAATAGAATCAAATTCAAACAGAAGGGTTCTGTTTATGGTTTGGAGAAGCCGCTAACGTTTCCTGTTATGGAGCTGGTTTGTATCAATGGGAAGTTGTGTAATGTTGTAACACAAAGCATCTGTGCAGACCTCTGTGTTGCTAAGGATCTAACTGACACTCTAATGCGGACGTCAGCGCTGTGTCTGACTGACAGAAGCGTTACCCTGCTCTGCATGCAGGGAGACACTCAGAGAAGAAACAATTTCACCATGTGCTTCATCTGTAGACAATGTTCATATTTTACAGTTTGAGTATTTATGAAATACTGCGACAGATGTTCTACAGCTGTTGGTGCTAACTACCAGGAAAATCTCTCCGTTTCAAACACCTTAACATGTTAGCGGCTCATATTCTTTTTACAGCAGCAAGTACAGTGTTGGTTTTCTCTGATCTGTTGCACACAGTGTAAAGAAACAATGGAGAAATATTATAAATAGTTTCAGAAGATTTCAATTTATTATGGGAACAGCTCCCAGAATGCACACTGACCTGGATGAACATGGACACACTGCTTATTAAATTATATTTATGTACTTCAGCTTTTTTGTGACTGGCTGTGTCTTGCAAACAGGTTTGAACAGCAAGTGGGCGGAGCTTCAGTGCTGTCAACCAGTGCTCTGATGACCATATTAGGGAGTCCTGAGAGCTTGAAAAAGGGAGGCAACTGGACTTCTTTAGGTTTTAAAAATCCAGATGTCTTCTCTTATTATTGTTTAAGTCTATAATGATCTACCATATTAGGGATAGTCAGCATCGTCACGCAGAGCCAGGAGTAGAAGACATATCTGAGACAGTGTTTAGATCATTGTGAAGCCTGAGCTTTTGACTCAGATGTTTATTATGAGCTATATACAAAGTAACATTATAAATATAACAGAAAACACAGAAATGCAGATCGACTATTAAAAAAGTGGAAAAGAAGAAAGGAAACCAAAGTTGAATCAGTTGTCTTGCATATAAAAATGTCTTTAAACCTTCAGTTACTGAAACACGCAGCCAACACAGGTCCCAGTTCTGCCACTACACATACCAGCTGTTCTCTTTCTACGTGTCTCAAACACGTCCAGCTGTGAAGATGACAACAATGATGGCGATGATGATGAAGCACAGCGCTCTAGAATGAAGACTCCCGCTCAAACTAACCAAAGGAGAAATGGAGGAGAAAATGGCACTGCTGTCATTTCTGGGCACCAACACGTTGCAGATGTTCCCCTCACAGCAGGAAGAGCACACCTGAGGGATGAGAGGAAAGCCTATCACGTTAAGGTTGAGGAGACATCTGAAGGCAGAGCTCTCCACGTACCTGGTAGCCAGTATCGGCAACGTCAGCACAGCCAGTGAACAGACACTCCTCCAAGGTGGCACAGCGCTTGGTCACAGACACACTTTCCCCACTTCTATCCATCATGTGGAGGGTGGAGCAGTATTTAGTATCTGAAGGACAGTAAAATTCCCTTCATGTGACCAATTATGTCTTAATAACTTGACAGATTCACAGGCAGCCCCAATATGAGGAGTACAAAGTTTAAAAGTGCCAAGAAATATTTAAATTTAGAAAGATAAGAACTACCAAACGGTACTCTTCAGTGCATGACACTTTCAGCTTTTGGTGATCACAGTTTGTTTAGAGAGTTGGATGGCAGGTAGATGATTTTCAGATTCCACAGTGGGCTCTGGCCCTACTGAGTTTGGGAAAACGTGTTTCCATCAACTCTGTCTAACTGCACATTAAGAATGTGTTCCAGTTGCCAAGCAGATGTAGATCCCCGTGAAGTCGACCGAATGTGCGAAGTAAAATTCCAAGAAGTAGGAAGCAAAGTTCCTCTGATGAAAGATAACTGTGGGAACACCTGTTCATCACTACGTTCTACACTGATGAGCAAGATTAGCCATCAGTCGTCACACCTTGCTGAAGTGTTGGCAAAAAGGGCATGCAAATGAGATTTTGGAGAAGGGGGGGGCTAGCATCTCCCTCCACTCACCTCCAAAACCACCTGTAGGCCACTTCCGCTTAAAAGTTCTTCCTTCCTACCAAGTCCTAGCAAATTATTATAAATATTGTTTATATCAATCTATTTTATTTATTTTAATCATTTTGTTGATGTTCGTTTGTAGCGCATTCCCAAAGAAACACATTTCTCAAGAGAAGTCACTTGAACTGACATCTCCTTGAGCAGGCAGCCACAGATGAATCAAAAGCTGACGTACCCTTTGGACAGTACACGTCCGGGGCCCAGCGGTTGCAGTCGTAGTTGTCTACAGCATCTTGGCATGTGAAGCACTTGAATCCGCCAGGGTAAGGAGTAGCTGCGGAGACACAACTGTATTCAGTTTTAAGTTCAATAAGTGAAGAAGGCGTGTTTTCATTCGTCCTGTGTGTAATATCATTCCTGCAGAAAGGGACCTTCATTCATCAACCTTCTGGGGTGTTTTTTTTAAATTAGCTCATTCAATCACTGTACACTTTCTCTGTGTTTCTGGGTGATTTCAGAATCATAAGAGAGACGAATGTCCTAAAATTCGTCCACCCCTGCCTTTTCCCTGGCTTCTGACATGGTTATGAAGTTGTCCTCAAAGCACAGGACCAGAAGATGTGAAGGGCTTGTTAATCAAAGCTGGAGGGGCCCCAAAACCAGGTGCACTTTGGTACGAATCTTCCTGAAACCAGTTTCCATCTTATCCTGAGGCTTGTTTTTCCGAGGTGCCCCGACTTCCTTGCAAAGACGTGTGTTAGGTTTTTGGGGATTGGATACTGGGCTCAGGTTTGGATGTAAGATAGACAAAGCTCTTAAAGTATATAAACTATGACTCTCATAAGTATTCTCACAGATGAGAATCAAATCAAAACTGCTGCTGTTTGTACATAGTAAAACTGTTTTCATATTTCTTGTACCATTTCTATTTTGATGTATTTGTTTAATTCACATGTCACAATGTTCACACTGTTCAGGTTTGATGCTTTTCTTATTAAAATAAAGTGCTGTATGACTGTGGCCTGTAGTATAGTGCACTTTAAAGGTTACGTAAATAAATGTATATACCAAATTAACTGCAAGTTCATCCCAGACCAATTTCATTTTATATTAACATTATTTGTTGCAGAAAAGGTTTTGAAAAAAGTGTGTCGCTATGAGTCTTAAGACTGTGTTTGTGTTGTTCACAATTCCACGAGGCCGAGCAATTTGTGCACCTACAATGGCATAGATGACATCATGTTATTTTTGTTTCACAATACTAACATTTAATTTTTATCCCCAAAACATCAGTTTTCTGTGGCATATTACGACACTATCACTTTACCTAGAAACCACCTAGAAGCAGGCTAAAATTAGCTGCTTTTTTTTCTTTGCACACTTAAAAACACCCTGTTGTTTTATCAGTAACCTCTGATTTGCCCCAAAAAAGAAAAGTTATTGAGTAAGTAAGTCATGATTGATGTAGACAAATAACTTCCATAAGTTCTCGATGGGCAATTGAAATGTGTGAATACCAAGTGACAAAACTGCTTTTTTTGGTCATTAGTAACACAAAACCCACTGGTCTACAATGCTTTGTATACCACAGTGGGGAACATGTAAATTATGCATATATTACTAACTGTGTTAATAACTGTGACTGTCATCTGACTGTTACTTTAGAAAGGGCAGTGGCATTAGCATAGGTGCACTTTCTTGGTAAATACATTGGACACTTAATCATTTAAAATAAAACAAGCTGTTGTCCGGTTTTTTGTTTATTCTAGGCAGAAATTTCTGTCTATTGAGAAAAATCTACTAAAACTACTAAATTAAAACAAATCATGTTACTGTCTAACATGTTTCTCATTAAAGTAAGACACTTTAGCGGTTTTACTGGATATTTATGTTTTAGCACATTTCATATATTCATTTAAATATTTGTATTTTGACTTTTAACTATTAGTTCTTTAATTCATTCAGTGTGTGAATAAACATGTATAGTATATCACAGTTGTTTTGTTCCTTTCACATCCTTATACAGTCCCTACTTTTATGCAAATCAGAGATGGATAAGCGGAAAATGTAAAAACTTCCTGATTTGAGATGAAATTACCCAAGTGTATACATTTATATGGATCATTTTAACCGCATTTTGAAATAATAATAAGAGTTGTAAAGTGCAGAATCCGAATATACAGGTAACCTAACGAGTGAAAGGTGTTTTAAGCTAGGGAAAAATCATTGGTAATGGAAATTCAGCTCAGGTGAACCTCTCAGTTTGTTGTCTCTATTCATGTGAGTCCTGCAGCTCATTTTTACATGAAGGCTCTGGCAGGTACACAAAAACTATACAAACACGCTTCTGGTTGTGAAACTTTGGGTTAATTAAAAATATGTCATTTGGTCAATCACCTTCTGATTTTCTGCTTATTTAACAATTATACTGATTACTAAAAAAGAAGCAATAAATCTGTAGCCTGTGCCATAGATGCTCTCCAAAGATTTATGGATACTCATCAGTCTACTCCACGTCTCTGACTCAGGGATCAAACAAGGACCAGCCACTTTTCAGTCAAAGAACAATCCTGTTATTCTCAACAAAGACACAAACCAATCGCTTTGATGATCATGAACCACATCCTTGTGTAATGAGTTTCCAAGATTTTTTTCAGGAATTTTGAAAAAGGATTCATCAGTGTTATTTCCAAGAATTAATTCCAAATAAAGATGAAATACATTTGATCTTTTAAAGGTGCAAGTTAAATAGCAGAACTGTAACTTGTAACTGGAATAAGTTCACTTAATATATGTTAGTGTTTTAAGAACACACATTTCAATCAGTGTAATCTATGTTATAACAGCCCTAATCTGTTGCTTTTGTTTGTCTGTCATACGTCAATGGCTGAGAGAATGAAAGCTGCAGAACCAGCTTACAATCAGAGAAGGATGCCAACTATACTTTTATATATTTATATTTTAACATATTGTAATAAACTGTTGTTTTGGCAGCTACAACTGATTTAAATACAAAACGAAACTTTCCATTAAGTTTTATTTGTGCATGTGTTGCGTTTAAATGCATCTGTACTCACTCGTTATTCATTCAGTTAACATGACTTTTGTACCTTTGTAACATTTATTTATTTAAATAAAACAACAGTTTTGTTTTCTACACCGTGCTTGCTTTCTGCTTTTCTTGCAGCTTGTTTCCGATAGATATTATTAAAATGTTCCATTCAAGTTCAGTGCACGCTATTTAAAAACAATGCCGCTAATGTTATTCAGTCATATTCAGTATCAAACCTTTAAACAAATTGAGATGTAAAATAGTACTCCTATACTCCTACTTGAGGGGTGCAGCAGGATGATATCCTTCATGGTGAAGTCCCGTGACTGCGCAGTTTTCACCCAGTCAGTGATGGTGGTCAGCAGCAGGACCCAGGCCACTGTTGGCCAGGCCTCCATTATTGCACCAGAGTGTCTTCATGCACTTAGGCCTGTTGAACATGAGTGGATTAAAATGACAATATTAGCTTTTCCACCATCCCTGGACTCGCACCAGTTTGCATACAGGGAGAACCGGTCAACCGAGGATGCGATCGCCACAGTGCTGCACACATTACTGAAGCACTTGGAACACAGGAACACCTATGCACGGCTCCTCTTTGTAGACTACAGCTCGGCTTTTAATACCATCCGGCCATACAAACTCCGTCCCAAACTCCACCAACTGGGACTCAACTCCTCTCTGTGCAACTGGATTGTGGACTTCCTCACTAACCGTAGACAGAGTGTCAGAGTGGGTAAGAACACCTCTTCCACCCTTGTGGTCAACACCGGTGCCCCTCAGGGGTGTGTTCTGAGCCCTCTGCTATACACTCTCTTCACCCATGACTGTGTTTCCTCCTGCGCGTCCAATCTCATTGTTAAGTTTGCCGATGACACTACAGTGCTCGGACTTATATCCAACAACGATGAGACAAACTACAGGACAGAGGTGCAACAACTAGAGTCATGGTGCCACGACAATAACTTGGTCTTAAACACCAAAAAGACCAAGGAGATCATTGTAGATTTCCGGAAGAAGGGTCATAACAACCATCTGCCTCTCTTCATTGGCAGTGAGGCGGTGGAGAGGGTGAGCAGTTTTAAATTCTTGGGGTTAACTGTGACCGAGGACCTGTCCTGGGGCAACCATATCACCTCAGTTGCACGGAAGGCCCAACAGCGCCTCTACTACCTGAGGAGACTGCGGAGCGCACACATTCCCAGATCTCTGATGTTGAACTTCTACAACTGTGCCATCAGCAGCGTTCTGACGTATGGATTTCTAGTGTGGTTCCCCAGCTGCACCAAGGCCGATCAGCAAGCACTCCAGCGGGTGGTGAAAGAAGCTGGCAGAATTATTGGAACAAGTCTGCCAGAGATCAGTAATATCTTCCCCACTCGCTGTCTGAGGAGGGTGCACAGTATCCTGCGGGACCAACATCACCCTGCGCGCCACCTTTTCCATCTGCTGCCCTCAGGGAGAAGGTACAGGTCTATACAGGCCAGAACATCCAGACTGGCCAACAGCCTGTATCCACAGGCTGTGAGGCTCCTGAACTCTCTGCCCCCCTCTCACGGACAATAACCATATCCAACTTCTTAATAGCAATGAACTGGTCTGCATTGGTGCATCATATCTTTATTCTCTTCCCCCTCCTGCCCCCCCCGCCCCTCTTTCTTAAATAGATAACTATCATATCTGATATCATATCTCACAGTACAATAATATTGAATGGGTTGCATTGTTGTACTTTGTCATGTTTCTCAGGTCTTTGTCTGAATTTCTACCAACATTACTTGTCATGTTCTCATGTTATTGCTAAGGATTGTCTTATTGCATTGGAGTCACACCGGGTTAAATATGTACACTTGGGTTTTAAGGGGTATTTATTATTCTCTTCTTTTTTTGGGTTGTATGGAAGCCCCAAACGCAATTTCATTGTTCTTGACAATGACAATAAATAAATACTACTACTACTAGAGAATCTTAAACGGATAAAGAATGTAAACACTCAGCCTCCCAGAGCTTTTTTTAAAGATACTACAGAGTCTTTTTAATGTATTGTTTTTTTTAGTGTACAAGAAAGCATGATTAACCCACAGTTGAACTCAACGAAACATCAACAAAAGGCTTCAAGTGGCTAATAATAGAACCAATAAGTCTATAAATGTGACCACCTGTGTTCCTTCTCATGCTGTGAGCCTGCTTCATTAATCAAATGTCAAAGGAACTCTACGAGCCAGCTTTAAGCCTCAGCATCCCTTTCTGGATTTAACAGATCATGAAAGTGCTGATATTTCCATATTTTACTCAAGAAACTGAACACTGGTCATGTAAACCTATATTAATGCTCTCATTATTTTAATGCCAATCAATAAAACTCTCTAGAAACTATTCTTGAACTAATCTGAAGGTAATATGAAGTTTATAGGTCTGTAGCAATTGACCCTGCAGAAAGTTGGTATCCTCTGTGGACTATGCGCCCCAGCATCCACTAACCAGCATCACCACCTGCAGGAGCCACCATAGAGGTCAAGTGTAGTGCATATCAGCTGGAATGGGAGAGGACCTGATGAGCCGATCCCTGACTGTTGAAATTAGCTCTATTGACACAAAATGTCACCTGTCTCGTGGAGAAGGAGACTGAGCTAGTGGTTGAGGTTATTGGAATCAGTCTCCTGTAAAGGGGCTGGGCTCCCTCCAGTCTGGGGTTGCCCTTGGTGAGAGATTGCGGGCAAGGGTAGGTAGGTATACTTGTATCCTCCATTGGAGTACTTTCTATATGTTGGGGTTCTCCCCGTGGAAGAGAGTTGTCCCTGACTATTACTTCAGCTTATGCACCAAATTATACTTCAGAGGTACACACAGCCTTCCTGTAATCACTGAAAAAAAAGAGTATGGTTTGGGTAACCTGTGGGACTCCAGAGGAAGCTGACAGGTACCAGCTGGCAGATTGCAGCTTATGTAGTAGCTGAAACAAAAAGTCTGGTGTGGGAAAAGTTTGGTGAGCTCGTGGAACAAGACTTTTGGTCAGCGTTGAAATGATTCTGGCAAACCACCAGATGACACAAGAGAAAAGTGGTGCTCTATCTATCTATAGGGGTGCTGCTGACTTCAGCTGAGGATACAGTTGGAATTCTTCAAGGATCCCCTCAATCCCAGTGACAATGCTTAGAGAAAGCAGAGTCTGGGGACGATGGGGACAACTTGCCCATTATTAGAAGTGAGATCACTGAAGCAGGTAAACAACTACTTGGTGGCAGGATCAGTGGGGAGGGTTCCTGAAACCTCTGGACGTTATGGGGCTTTCTTGGTTGACATCCCTCTGCTACATCACATACAGATCTGGGGCAGTGCCTCTGAACTGGCAGACTGGGGTGGATGTTCCCATCTTTAAAAAGGTTGACCAGAGGGTGTACTCAAATTGCAGGAGGATCACACTACTCAGACTCCAAAGGAAGATGTACGTCAACGTACAAGAGAGGAGACTATGTCCTGAACCTTGGATTCAGGCGGAACAAAGCGGTTTTCTTCCTGGTCATGGACCTCTGGACTCTTTGGGTTGTGTTGGAATTTCCCAGTCAGTCTACATGTGCTTTGTGGACTTGGAGACTGTATTCAGTCACATGTGTAAATGCTATTAAATAATGTTCTGTGTAGAGTTCATGATGTGGATGATTGATTTATAATGGATTACATAATTTCATGAATATATATAGTTAGTGTTAAAAATATCTTTATTTGAAATGTACATGTGTAAAGTGTAAGAGCTGGTGTCTCATGAGAATACCCTTAACGAGAGTAAGCGAGACCTTTCGTGTACTGCGAGGGAGCAGATGTCTCTCATGAAGCGTGTTAAGCTAAAGGTTTATTAAAAGAAAAGCAGCACAAGGACTTAAGGACCTCTTTTCAGGACAAACAGTCAGTGAGGTAGTTGTCATTTGAGAAATGTTTTTATTTGTGTTTGGACTTAATATGTGTACTGTGAAGTTGCTAAATGGTTTGTACTGTTCACTCGTGACCAGTTCTCATGGCGTATTGGCGTACTGGTGATGGTGAAGCTGAGGAGGAGAGAAAGCCCAAGTAATAAACGCCTGTTTCAAAGAACCGACCAGTGTCTGTGTCGTGAAGAGAGCTACAACATGCAGCTTCAGGAGCATGGAGTATCTGGCTTGTTGCTACTAGCCATTCAGCCCCCGCTCAACCGCAGTGATAGTTTGGTCCACATTGCCAACAATAAGTCAGAGTCATTGTAGTAAAGCTATTTATTTTGCTATAATTAAAGCCTCATAGAGGATTTTGAGATTGTATTGATATTATATCTCAATCCTGAGCTTTCAGTTAGAGTCCAGTCAGAACACTCCCTCTTTTTAGATTCACTGAGACGTCAATCAGTGAATTACACACCAGATGACCTGGTTTTATCCCTGACTTTTATGTTTTATCCCCAGGCACTGTGCCAGACTGTGGGGCTGTAAATGCTTGTTTTCTTTGCATTATGCATGCCCCAGTAAAATGGATCCACATCTTTACTTTGGTCCAAACACCCATAATGTAAAGTGCTACAAGAACACACTTGTTTTACTTCCAACACAAAGACATGATTATAAGTCATAAGACCTGAAACTAAAATAATTTCATTAAAAGGAAGCTTAGTAACTGATTGACCACATACATTTTCAGGCTAAAAATGTTAATTTTCAATGAGTCCAGGTTCTCAAATGTGAAAATGAATGCCACAGTGTCTAAGTGGTAGTTAATATTCAGGATTAAAATAATTAAAACCTCCTCTCTAGATTTGCATGTCTTTTCAGCATGTGAGAAACTAATAAACACACGAAAACACAAAAAGGTCTGTAAATCAGGCTTAATAACAGGATTAATCTAAAGCCTTCACAGCGGTCTCCTAGTCGTCAGAGAGGTCTCCTCCTATTGCATTCATCAAGCTCCTCGAAGCACAGTGCTACTGTATAGCTCTTAATCATACGCTGTATGCTGAAAGAAAAACTTGAGATTAGGTCCCAAACTTTGAGCTGTCTGAAGGATCCCTGGCTTTGCCTGCAGTAAAATCTGTTTTTAGGTCTGAGAGGAGAAGGCAGGAGTGCAGGGATTACATACAAAGGCTCCCTGTTATAACTGGGGGGATGGAGAGGTTTCAATCAGCACCAACCAACTCCTTCGGGTCCCGGTTAAAAGGCTGTAGAAGGCTAAAAGAATCTGAAGGAGAGTCCGTCAAGACAACAGGGGATGAAGTTCAGAGATAGTGTAAACTGTAGATTGTTACCTGCTTAGTTACACATCTGGATGCATCCACACATTACAAAAAAAACTAATGTGATGCAGATGTATCGGCTAAATTGAAAGAAATGGGTCGGAGTTTAAGATGAATCTTATGAATATATATTACTTGACATGCACTAATGAAAAAAGCGACAGACCTAAACTGTCGTATGGACATCATGAAGTTCATAATTAGAATTATTTGCACTTCATTTTTGGCATAAAAGAAAGTAATGTGCAGAAACATGTGCAACTTGTTACATCTTAGAAGAGAAGATGTGGAGGCAAATATAATGAAAGACTAATTAGTGACAGAACACAACTGGAAACTACAATATGTCACATAAAAAAGTTCAAAACAAAAAAGAGCAAAACATTAATTGATCTAATAATAATGGCGGCTCCAGTGGTTCCAAACCATTTCAGTTAACTATACCTCCACAGCCACAGCTATGTCAAATAAACTCAAATATCACCTCACTGATGATGAGATCATTTCAGTGTAATTTAACCTGATTTTTTTTTTAATTGAACAATGTTTAATTTTGCTGTGATATTTACAATACAATCGAACTTGAATGCAGGGTTAGTTAAATTATGTACTTTTGTAGTACAACCATTTCAACATCATCATAATTTATCTGTGTGGTCACTGTATTAGCTTTTTACATGTATCATTTGGCCATTATTTTGAACAATTTTATTTAACCACCTGCCCCCTAACGCTATGTAGCTAGCTTAAATGTTAAATGTTAATCCAGTAATGTTAGCTTGATACTAGATATTCATTATACACAGATTTTTTTATTAGTATTTTCCACTACTATTTCAACTACTACGTTTAGACATGAACTAATAGTATATAATAGTGTAACCCATATATAAATATAAATTGTTTATTTTAACCATTATCTGTGCTGATGGCTAATTATTAGCCATTATGGCAACCATTATCCAGTGCCAAACTATCATAATGAAATGTATATTAAGTTTTTATTGCAATTTTTAGCAAATAACTACAACCTTCTTTACGGTAAATAGCTTTTAGCCAAATATCTTAACTGCTATGAAATTTTAGCTAACTATTGAAACTGAACAGTCTCAGCAGGTTTGCCTGAATATTATCATTATCATTTTAGCTAATTTAACACTTTTCCCATTACATTTTAAACTTCAGATAACTTTTTCTCTTGTTTTAGCTATTATATTTCCAAAATCATAATGTTCTAGTGTTGCACTTGACTCAGAATGTCTTCATTTCCTTTAGTTTACACCCAGGCAAACTCAGTTGTTGAGCTAATAGATCTAATTTAGTAAAATCCACTAACTCACCCTGCAGTCTGACCTGACAAAAATAGCTGGCTTATTGCTCCAAATTGGTCATGTGTTTCAAAAGAATACTTGATCAACATTTAGACCACCAGGGTTGACTTTGAAGATCAGCAGCTCAGCTCTATTGACCAGACACATATGGCAGGGGCTTAACTTCTTTCATTCCACTGATTTTCTCCCTATCTATCACGTCAGAGATAATTGACTGCATTCACAAAATTCTTGTTTCTCTTGTATAATTAGGTGGTTGAAATGTCATAAATATAAAGTCCCCTTCCCAAGCATTGCCATCTGGATTTACTGACACACTACATCACTGCGTGATTTTTGTGAGGTTTTTGCTTAGCTCATAAAGCATCTGACATTTTAACATTGTTAAACATGACCAAAAAGGTCACAGTTGGCCAGACACTCTAAATGAATGTAGTCTCCTTACTGCCTATTTGTATTAGCTGATTCATTATGATACATAAATCAAGATAATATGACAAGCAGACATTCCTTAGAAGTACATGTGACCTGTGCTATATAACATTTATAATTGGATTATTATCTCTTGTTATCTCTAAAGCTGCTCCAACTTTAAACTGTAACCTATTGTGACCAAACTACAAAACTTGGCTTTAAAACCACAAAGCAGTCGTGCTGAGAGGTCAAGTCTAAAGAACTGGACTTTGTGTGTATTTAAAATTTTTATCAACATTTGGGTAGCATAGCTTCCACACTATAAGGAGGGATTTAATTGAGTCCAATACAAGATTTTTGCAATGTAGCTGCTCATATTTATATGTAAAATAGGGGTGTGAGACATGTAGGTCAGGACCAGAACTGACCCAAAAACTCCAGGTTTTGTTCATTGGCACATCTACTTTGAAGGACATGCAATGAAACATGTAGTATAAACTGTACTTTTTGAAAAGAAAGGCAGATTAAATATAGCTTTACTGGTTTGGCGACACTTCAGAATAAACTGGGTTATATGCGGCCCATGAACTCAAATGTAATGTTCTTATAGCTGTCAAAATAATTCAATCATTAAGCAGAATATAATGTAGATAATGTAGATAATACTTTACGGACTGTAGCACTTCACACAAAGTCTACCACATTAAAAGCACCATGGAAACTTGTGTAATCACAGTAAATTTACAACTTTTAACAAGGTACAAAGATTTACTGGGTTCCCACATAGTTCAGTTTAAGATCATATGCTGTCTCCACAACTATATTTGCTCTTCACTGAAATGGTGAATATGAACTAAATCTCACGATCAAAAACATGACAGCATTTCATGAAATATCATATCTTCAATTCATCTAAACGTAACGCTTCTCAATTGCACTGGTGCGCACGGAATTGATTTAAAATTACATGTGTTAGTACAGCTTGACTCTACGACTTTATCGCAACACTATTTTAATAAGAACTTACCAGCTTTAAATGCTCGATAGGACGCTCTCCATTCGGCGCGGATGAAGCTCAGAAACTAGTGAAGTGCAGCTCGGCGCGGCTGAGGAGGGGAGGGGGAGGCTGCAACGTCACAGACATCGGCACTCCCACAAATAGAAATGGATCATACAAAAAACAATGTTTTTTAATTCACCTTTTTTTCATGGCGGGGATTTATATATTATATATAGCAATGCACTGATATACAAAAATTTCCCCCTTATCAAAATGTATTACTTTCATAAACGAATTAATAAGTATATGTACGCTATTTTTCTTTTTTTCCCCTTTTTTTTCTTAATTTGATAAAATACTTTTTACAATGTTGCTGAAGTTTAAGTGAATGTGTTATTTTTGCCAGTTTTAGCCGCAACATCAGGTGTTTGTGAGTGGGAGGGGCAGCGTCCAGCCTCCTCAGTGGAATTGCCCTCCTGGCCAATAGGGAACAGAATGCTAGTAGAGGTGCCTCATTCCCACTGATGCCAAAGAGAGAAAGCAGGGGTCCAGGTGGCAGCATCACACTGAGAATCCTGGACAAGGTATGGAAAACCTTTGTCCAGAACTGGTCAAGTTGGGACAAGACCAGTACATATGGATCAGTGAGGCTTCAGCAGTTTTGCATCTATCACAATATGGAGTGATTTCAGAATAGATCTGAGATAATCTGGATTTTGAGAAGTGGGCTCTATGCACCACTTTTAACTGGATTAAACAGTGGCAGGCACATAATGATGTTGTGTTGACATTTTAGTAGGGACATAATTTCCAGGGGGGTTAGGGGGGCTATGACCCCCCCCCCCCCAATAAAACTATGAATTATCTTGCATAAATAGGCTGTTGATTTTCTTTACTCATTTCAGTTATTACCAGCAAAATAGTTGCATGTTTTAATTTACCCAATTTAACCCAGATTTATTTATTTATTTAGACAGAGATCTTGACTCCCTCAATGTTCAGCACAAAGTTACACCGATGCATGTTAGCTTATGGAGGCCCATGTTTTGTCATGTCTAAGTCTCCTGCCCATAATGTTCTGAGTTTGGATGAAGGGGTTTGTGTCAAGTTTAATATTTTTTCGTAAAGCAGGGAGATCAGCCCTCTATTGGTCGGATTGAGTTGTAGGATAGTTTCTAATAGTGTAGCTCTGGTAGAGGGCTTGAGCCTCAAATCTGGGAATGAATAAAGTGCCTGACTTGCAAGTAACTGAAAAAGTGTTTTGGTGGTAGATTGTATTTATTAGCAAGTTGTTCAAATGATGCTAGTTTGTTGGCTATGAACAGGTCTTTAAAGCAAGTTATTCCACTTCTGTGCCACTCCACAAACCCACTGTCCTGTGTAGAAGGTTTAAAGAAATGGTTAGATGCAGTGGGGCTGAGAGGGGAGAAGTCACAGAGATGAAAGTATTTCTTATACTGGCCCCATATTTTCAGTAAGTGTTCAGAAGGTTCAGTTTATACCCAAAAGCTGACCAAATTGACCAAGCAGATTTAATGTAGATGGTAATGAAGTTGAAGGCTTAGAAATAAAAAGCAGGAGATCATCTGCATAAAGCGAGACCTTGTGTTCGATGGTATTTCTCCAAATGCCGTGTACTTCTTTGCAACTGTGAAACGCAATGACAAGGGGTTCTACGGCCAGATTAAAATCCAGGGGGCTGGGAGGACATCCCTGGCGTGTGCCCCTGTGAAGTTTGAATGGTTTTGACAATTGGACGTTAGTCTGTTTTGTAGCAGATAGCTGAGAGTAGAGCAGTTTAATCCATCCATAATTTTGCTCCAAAACCAAGAGAGATTGTCGAAGTCAACTCGATCAAAGGCTTCTTCAGTGTCCAGAGAGACAACATATTCATCAGCATCTGTAGAGCTGAAATAAACTATGCTAAATAGCCTTCTTACATTAAAACGGTGACCTTTAATGAAGCCTGTTTGGGCTTTTGAAATAATTGTTGGGAGAACCAATTGTAGTCTACGGGCAAGAATCTTGGCTAATATTGTAGCATCTGTGTTCAAGAGAAATTTGTCTAAAAGAGTCACATTCCATCGGATCTTTTCCTTTCTTTGCAATAAGTGTGGTACAGGCTTCATAAAATGACTGAGGAAGAGATCCTTGTTTAATGCAGTCAGTGAGGGTTATACTAAGCTGCGCAGACAGTAATGTAGTGCTCTGATTAAAAATTCTGATGGGAAACCATCCGGACCTGGACACTTGCCAGATTGCATTGAGGCTGTAGCTAAGGAAACTTCTGACTGAGAGGTAGAGTCATCCAGCCTTGTTTTAAGTTCTGGTGGAATTTCAGGAATGTTAAGTTTAGGTAGAAAGTCATTAATTGCATTGCAGCCAGTTTGTGACTCTGAGGTGTTAAAGTTCTGAGTAAAAATCCCAGAATACTTCATCAATGTTTCATGATCTGTAACCATGTTGCCATCTTGTGGTCGAGCTTCAAGAATACTTTGCCTTGCCCTAGAACTGTTGAGAAGGCTTGCCAGTAATTGGTGGGGTCTGTCACCATGCATGTAGAATTTTGATTTGTCAAGCAAGAGCAAACGTTCAGTTGATTAAGTTGTGAGTGGGTCAAGTCTTGTTTTGAGTTCAACATGCTTTTTAAACATTTCGTGACTCTGTTTGAGAGCATACTGGTCATCAGCCGCCTTAATTTGTTGCATTGACTTATTTCGCTCATAAATGGACTGTTTTTCAATTTTTGCTGAATAAGCAATAATCTGGCCTCTGATATAGGCCTTAAAGACATGTGATACAACAAGGCTGCAAGTATTAAGGGAGGAGCTAGTGGCAAAATAAAAGCATATCTCATCTTGGCGAAACTTCACAAAACTGTCATCTGACAGAAGGGTTGAATTGAAATCCTATTGTGCAGTTTTTATAGGAAGATGTGGAAGAGGCAGAGACAGAGTAAGTGGGGCATGATCTGAAATAACTATGCTATGGTAGGCACAGGAGTGGACCTGCTGCAGACAGTTAGTGTCAGTGATAAAGTAATTAATTCTTGAATATGGTGCACATGTGGGAAGTAGTAGTCTCTCTTGTGAAGATTTAAGAAATGCCAGACATGACACATTCTATATTCAGTTGATTTATAGAACAAAGACAAAGTACACATTCACCTTAAATGATAAGAACAGAATAACTATACAGTCCAGAACAGGTTAAAAAAAGAGGTTCATAGCAGTGACCCTCACCCTCGACAAACCCTCCCCCAGACAGAAAATAGCTGCCTCATCCGTAGAGCTCCGACATAATGTCCTTGTACTGCGCCTGCTGATTAAGGATCTCGGGATTGCAGTCCTCCACAATACCTCTTAAATGTGGACAAGCATCGTTAGTCAAAGTATAATTGTTCTGAAAGATCAACTGTGATAATATAGTCCTGATTAGAGGGGTAAATACATACAGTGTGAGGGGCGACAGAAGGATCTGGGCCTGTGGAGGTTTTTGGGCTGACATGTTAAACATCGCAATTTACAAAACACCAAACAAAGCAATAATTTTGGATGAATGGGGTTCTGGTAAGTGCTGGTCCAATGCCTTGCATTTCCTTTATTGTTTCATGAGTCTGTACTACCAAAGCATGCATGAATGTGTTTCTTTCAGATTACGTTTCAGAGTCAAAGATGGAAATTTCAGGGCTTGCATTTTTCTTGAGGAAATTACTGAGATACAAGCCGCACTAACTGCTTGTTCATTCACATTCCTTGACTCAAACACATGGTATGCTGCGACAGATAGATAAGCTCATCACTGACAGGCAGCAGCCCTCTGACCTGACTGGTTATGTGATCCGTTGTAGAAAGAGCACAGAGTGAGATAGCAGCCCTTCAGATCCTTGGCACATAGAGGAATTTATGTAGTAGGCACACAGATATGCTATAATATGCTATAAAGTCTGGACAGATGGCTACTGCTGAAAGAGCACCTCACAAATATGCACACTATTCAAATGAAAAAAAGTAAGAGCAGGAGAGACACGCAGAAAATTCCTAAAACTGTGGTTCCTATTGCACCAACTGTGATGAATCTGAATCAGTGAGTATAAAGCATATGTTGGATACCAGAGCTGGATACGGCTCATATTTCATGAGCCGTATGAGCATTTTAAAAGCAACTGTGCAGACCCGAGGTCAAAACAACATAAGCTTGTCACACCGTAAGGTAGAGATCCTACAATACGACAGCAATGATACGATGATCCACTAGAAGTGAGCACATGGCAACATTGGGGAGGATGAACTCCCTTTTAATAGGAAGAGACCACTTGACTAAACTAGGCTCAGGGTGGGGAAGACACCTGCTGCAAATCGGGGGACATAAAGACTTTAACTTTTTTTTTTTTTAAGTCAGTAGGAGTCAGTGTGGTCTAAAATATGGACTGGTACTGACTGATCAATGGAAAATGCATCTGTAGAGATACAGACTTTGAACTGTAGACTCATTCAATGCATTGTGCACATTTACAAGCT